TCATTAATTTTTGATCGCTCTCTTTATTGTCTCATGAAGTCTCGATAAAATTATTCATTCCAGAGATAATCTGAAAAAGTATCAGTCCGTATCCAATCAAAATTTGCTACTTCGATATTGGAAACCAACTTCCGAGAAGTCGAAACTTGTGAAGGGTTAGGAAGAGCGGGACCTACAGCTTATAGTGGCTTCCGAACCAATTTTAATTTAACTTGGTATCTCTAAAATGAATAATTTCACCAAAATCACATAAGTAATGGAGAAAGAATGATCGAAAATGAATGACTCATTTCTAGTGCTGGGACCAACGAGGGAATGCATTGGCATAGTGGGACATCTTTATGCAATTTTAGTATACTTGAAAATCGTGAAGTTTGTGCAAACATCACCCTTATCACTGCTGAACCTTCAACACTGATTAATAATCTATGACACATGTATATAGGGAAGTGGGAATGAGAGTGCATGTGGAGAGAATAGTAAAACACTAATCTATAATTATATGTGTGATTATATTTTAAAATTTATGTTTAATATGAAAATATTCGTAGCATTTGTAATTTCCTTAAATTATTACAAAGTCAAAGAAGTATGTAACATTTACAGGAAATCGAAACATTTGACAAACTAAACGCGATAAAAAAGCCTTTCACAAAAATAAACTAGAATGGAACAAAAAACACCTCAACAATAGGTAGGTATGTATGTTATTCACCTCTCTCAAAATTTAAAGCTCAAAATACCTTTATTATATAAATGAAAGCACATCAGACATACAATAAAAGTTATGTTAGAATGGTCACGGATCAGGACCATACTCTATTCCACCCTCCACTGGTGGATCGGTAACACTAGAGCGTGAAAGGCGACTCTTTATATTATATAAAATAACAACTATAACAAATTAACGATTTAATATTATATCATTATAAATTACAAATAACAACATTCAACTGAAATGCCATGTCACAAGGTTTGGCATAAGTAAATAGGAGTTTTTGCAGGATTTTGTATTTGTGACGGTGGTGCCAAGCAGATGTCAGTGGCGATTAACTTTTCACTGACACTAATGTTCATACCATTTATTACTCACTATAAATAACAACACCCCATCATGAAAAAATGGTAAAGTTTTGTGAAGTTGGAAAACAAGACGGTATTGTACAACAATTATATTATACCTACAGATTATGCCATGAATAAGGTTCGTTGATCATCTATATGATGTGTAATGAAGCTGATGAGTGAGTGTGACGAACCACAAGTAAATAGATGAGATATAACATAGTTCAATTATACTACTGTAGTTACAATAGGTAAGTAAAATTAGGTGAAATGAACTTGCTCCATTAAAATAGTCCAACAACAGTTTTTTTTGTCACATTGCCATAATATTCCTCGCCACATCTTCTCCGAAAAGAAATAATCAATTCTCATCTTTGGTGGTCAAATCAAGTTACATAAAATTGTTATCAAGACTGATCCAGAATTGCAGAGGTAAATGTTATTGATACGAGTATATGGCAATGAAACATGACAGAAAACGAAATCAGTTGGACTAAGGGTGCTATGATGGAGAAAGTTCAATAATGCTACATTGACCCTGCTGGAAAAAGTCGGCACCAACCCAACAAATAAATATATATGATCGACTAGATTGGTGTGGATTAATATCGAATTTACCAGCAGTGCAAATCAAGAAAGTTGTAACGGACATATCATCTAGATCAGAAACAGTACTTGAATAAAAACAAGTAGGTATTTAGTAAAATCCAACGCGAATGTGTGCCTTTCGACGTTCAGATTTTCTAAACCAGTAGGTTGTTCACAAAATGCATGTCACAAATTGTAAATGAGCATAAAGTCGAGCTTGCACCAAACTAGAAAGTTTTGTGACTTCCGATTGCTGGGAATTAAAATTGAAGCATATTCAAGATGAATTAATATTTGTCATGTCATCAAAATGAGGTAGTTTTTTCAGCATTCACTAATTTATCAAACCACATCACATATTTCACGATATGAGATGGAATAGAATTAAGAAATGTAAATTTATGTTTCACAGCTTGAGACTTCACAGAACCACCTTCGTAATACGAGTGTACTGTTCCTGATCCGACGATATATTCCGTTCAATTATTCATAAATCCGATACGGAGTAGTGTACAAATGTGTGCGCGAATGGGCCAGACAAATAGGCCGCTTCCAAGATACACGAAAAATATAGTACTACCATAATATATAAGACAACTTTGCCATCCTTGGTATAGGTATTAAGTTCTACTTGGCCAAGAATATGTACATTCAAAACCATAACATTTCTTTTCGAGTTCAAATTATGTGGGGTGCCAAATTGTGTCACATAATAGATTCGATCATGTCAAGGTGTTATGATGACTAAGGCCGCGAACATGTTGGAGCTATGACATGACAAAACCTATGATACTAGCGAAGCAACGAAATAAAAAGCACGTGTTCATATTCAGGTATGCACGTGAACGGAAATGTTTTTGTTGCCCGGCAATGTATGGCAGAGATTGCTCATTTCTTTGCTTTTCATACGGTAAGTACAAACTAATGAAATGTTGAAAAATGTATATTAACGAATTTATAACAAAGTGTACATACTCCAGATAATTTTTTGTGGGATCGAATAGACGAGAATAACCTCAATGGTTCTGCTGGATGAAAGGTGGAATTTGTCAGGTACCTACCTACAACTCAGTGCACATTATATTTTGTGCAAAACCTTTTCAATTGAGAATATGAAAACAAAAACTTGTAACATTTCACTGATAATCGAGAGAAGCTAGAGAAGTGAACAACTCGAACCATACTTGATAATTTCGAAGCACTAATCGCGTCGGTTTCATCGACGCTCTTATATGTCTTGTCACCGTTCCAACAAGTTTATGGCCTGAGTATTAAGCGAGTACAGATGCCGCATTTTAGATACAGTTCTTGAACGAAGCCTGTTGGTCTGGCACGCCATTATACACAGCTGTCTACATACTAGGTATGTAATTATAATATTAATAGTATTTTACTGTTCTTGAATGATCAGATAGGTACGAATGTATAATACAAAGTAACCAGTAGAATGCACAGTGCTGTAGTAGCACCTAGCACCATACACGATATATTTTATACGAACGTAGAGAAAATATGGGTACCTACATATAACTCATATCATATTCATATATTACATTTTATAATATGTATAATTTGTGTTTTCTAAATTTCACTTTGAAACTACCTACTGTATATTTCATACCTAACTTACAATATAATAAAAATGGGGAGGAGCAGTATCTGGCCTACGATGGGTACACTATAAACCTAATATATTCTGTAAATATTTTTTTTTCTATTTGCAAGAGTGTACTGCTCCTCCTCAAATATTTGGCAAACAACATCTGATCTCTACTGTTAAAATAAAGCGAACAGCCGTCCCTGATGGAAGGAAGCGCCTTGGGGCGGCAGGCCGCGTTTTGTGGACGAGGACGGGCGAATTGTCCAAAGTGCGCAGACTCACCACAAGTTCTAAGGTGGCCATGAAAACTTCGCAAACGTGCACGGCCGTAATCCGCGCGTCCTCGCTTAGTGTGAGACTCCGAAGGAAATCTCATCTAGGCACCTAATTTTACGCTATGAGTGATCTCTCGAACACCCATTTATTGCTAATCTTTTAGTCCTTATCAACAGCACAGCGTCCTGTCTTTCAGTTGTACAAAACAAAAACCACTAAAACAAATGAACGAAGTTCAATAGCTCAAGCGGCAGCTACCCATTCTTGAGAGCGATAAAAGGGAGGTGGGCAAAGAGCAAAATATGCCCAGAAAACACACAACAATATTCAGAATATATACCAGATACTACGTGACCACTTTAACTTTGTTAGTTTGTTGAATCTTCTGACTAAATTGCCGAATATTCTTGGCATAAATGTGTAGGAAATTCGTTATACTCAGGAAAATATACAGGGTGCCATTTGAAAAACAAATATCACTTCCGTTATTACATTTTGTTATTTGAGTCCATGAACTAACAAAGTTACATAGTTCCTAGGTCACCCAGTATTTATATAAATACCGTTATGACGTTATGACAACAGGTAAGTACTTTGCCATCTTCTTTCAGCAGCCTATTCAGTTTCTCAGAAATTACCAGCGGAGGTGAATCGATCAGTATTGCCAAATTTTGAATAGGTATACTGATCTCTCATCAGTTGTTGGTGAATTTTTTGTCGGATTTTCCTATATATTCAATTATCATTTTCCTATTCTTCACACAGTTCCATCAGGTGAATAATTGAGAAGAATATATCTTCATTAATTAGGATCACATAATTTACACTGAATTATATCACACGTTTGCTTCAATGAACCAATTGTCAAACCGGTTGATTCTTAGATCATTTTTATTTATAACATTTAGTTTAGCATTCATTTCTAGCAATGTAAAAACATAAGCGACGAATGGTTGCACTTAATGATAAAAATTATTCATAAATGAGTAGTAGAATTTGAAATACTGATAACAACCTATCTGCCAATTTCTAGTAAATGATGGAAAATAGTAACAAATTAGGTAACCTGCGTGTTTACCTACTTTTCAAATCTACTGAAGATGGTTATTTAGTTACCAAAATACTTAGCCAGATATTTCCAAATAGTTGTGCGTTTTTGGGCATATTTCAAAATTTAAGTACCAACTCAAGCACAGCCTCCAGTTTTTCAATTCAAAGGAGTGGGGGCCATTTCGATTCAACCGATTGGAAGCTACTCTATATATCTTACCACAGTTAGTACTAGTAATATATTATATTGAAGTCCTATTCATTTCGTGCTGTACTACGACTGTGGTGAGTGATAAAGGGGTGCAGTTTCTAATGGAATAACCTATTTTCTTGCCAGGTTGATGGTAGGATCGGATCAGAGAACAGGAACAGGCAGATTGCATAACAGCGGTGGGACTAAGAATTTGTGTTAGACAGTGAGCTAAACCGCTGTCTCTGTATGGCTGTGGGAGGACAATCGCTCTACATCTATCTCCGGTATCGTCAATTCGTCTTGGATGTTATCGGCATATTCGATAGAAGAAGTTTGCGACAACCTTTTAGAAGAAAGGGATGTCTGTTTGCGGAGTACCTCTGCTAAGGAGGTGTTGCTGTGTTCGCCATATCGAGCGTCTAGGCCCTGTCGGAAAGCGTTAACTACTCGGATCTGAAATTAACAAGAAACACCAAAAGGAAGATGATTAAAAAAATGAACGTTCCCGTGGATTCGACGGGCGTTAGCACATTCGAAATACAACACAGTGCTGATAAAGTATAGTCCCAAGACCGGTTCTCTGATGTGCAGTCATGGTCGGACATTTATAGCATGCTTTGTATGTTTTACTATCAAAAATACACAATTTCCCGCAACATCAAACCAAATGAATACTTTTCGTATTGAATTATATATTATGTTTTGTTGAGCTTCTTATCAATAATGATGATAGGATTCAGTGGGACGTAGTATAGGTACCTATTTTTTTATCTCGAAATGATTAGGTACCTATACCGATATTAAAGTTTGCAGTTTTTTCTGTCACTTGATTGCCTCCTTGCAACTTGATACATTCAATTATAAAATGGGGATAATTGGAAAATATACATGAATAATGAAGATCAAATGCCATTTTCACTGTTTAATCAAGATTGCATAGCTATGAGCTATATGATATTGCTTACTTTTGAAATGATTAATATTATAAAAACTATCGACCTTAATAATTCCAATTGAGAATGATTTTGGTTTACCAGTATTCTTCAACAAGCCAACTTTTCGGCAATGAACTTTGTCATCTTATTTCAAGGCTGTACAATGATAAATTATGGATATTTTTTAATTTCTCATTATTGATTTATTCAACATTTTAATTTCTCTTTCACGTTGTCATAAACAGAGTAGGTAATGAATGTCCATAATTTCATATTGTGAAGCCATAAAGATGGCAAAATATTCTTTTCTCAAGATTTTTCGGAATTTTCTTTCCTTTTTATAAATAAAAATATGAGTATGTCAATGCGTTTGAAAATATCACTAAGAGAGTCAAGAAGAGAAATTCAATCGACAGTCGGAGACACCTCAAATTTCACTTAGCTTTGGACGTTTTGAGCTTGCTTCAATTTTCAACATAAAAATGGAATTATTCTTGGCACATTGTTTTCAGATTTGTGAAATACAGGATGTTTTTATGAACTTTTCTTAAATTTCTTGGAGCGCACGCAAGACAATCTCTATAATGTGCGAGAAACATCGTGCGTACCTAGGGAAGATAGGGAGAGGAGGTATAGGTATTGGATTTTTTTTTCAACTTCTGGGGATCGAAAGTTCTTGGGAATGCTACCTTAGGCAATGAATTCCAGAGCTTTGCCGTTCTATAGACAAACGAATTTTGATCAAGTGCCGTTTAACATATTTCGAGCTTGACAACGAAACTACGTGCTGATTGGGCTTGTCGAGTTCGTCTGACTGGTATTGCTAGTGATGGAATGATAGCAGAGATTTCTGAAGAACATTTCCCCTGGAAGTATTTATAGAAAAGTGAAAGATCGCCGACTTTTCTACGGTGTTCCAATGTCAAAGAGTTAGTGAGTGTTGCATCACCCACCAGGAGAATGGTTCTTCTCTCTATCTAAGAGCATATTAGTGTGTTTGGGTGCTGAACCCTATATGTGGGAACAGAGTATTCTAGAACAGGCCGTATCTGTGCCTTGTAGATCATGAGAAGCTATTGAGGTGTAAAGTATCCTTTCGCACGGAACATAAATCCGAGTTTTTGTGAAGCAGCCTTCGCGTTGGATCCGACTGATCTTGAGATGACCATTTTTATATTCAGGTTTTATTTTAGGAGTGAATAGCATATATCAACTGAACAGGAAGCGATGTTATTTTTTTGTTTTTTCCTTTAATTTCAATGTCTCACTTCAAGAATATGTTAAACTAATTTGAATTTGTCGGTAGGTACCTATATGTCGTTTCTTTAGCTTCGAGTAAGAATTGATCTCTATTTTCAGTTTTGAACACTCTGTATGAACTTCTGTCACTATATCGGAAAACGATTTGCCAAGAATGATATTTCCATTTCTATGTTGACAAGCAGATTCGTTCCTGACTTCGATTGAATTCCTCTTTTAGGATCTCTAATAGTGACATTTTAAAAAAAAAATTTGTTCTAAAATTGTTCTATCCGTCATTTAGTAACAATTTGGGGCATATTCCGATTTTACCTCATTATGCATACCGGGTGACAACGAAATCATCGGCCATGTTGTCATTCCGTTGTTTTTTATGTTGGACTTCTGAAATTTGGATCGAAGATATATAGTTTCTTAAAACCCATTTCATCTATGAAGGAACTTGAATAGGTATCACTTTTGATATAACCGGAAAAAATCTAGGCCGAGAATTTTCGATTGAAACCCAGTTAGTAGATATTTTTACTTCATTCGATAGAGAAAAAAATCCCTTTTCAATGATATATACTAGTGGACATTTGTTTTTGAAATGGCGGCGCATTAGACAGACACATTGTTTCTAAAAAAAATATGGTGACACTGTAACGTGATCGATCTAATTTTCGTCAAGCAACGTAATAAAATAAATAATCGAAGCACTCTGATTATATAGTTATTGATGAAACATGCGAAAATCGTCAATCAAGATTTCTTTAATAGAAATTCTTTCAAGTGTATGTACATCATTTCCCTTGAATTTTATTCAAAACTTCAAATAGATAATGATACTTTTTAAATCAACGATAAATTGTGAATAGTATGACGGCATTTATATGTAGATACTGACTTTTACTTCAATATGCAAAAATGTTTTTATTCCATCGAAGAATATTTGCAAACAATTTGTGATGACATGAGTTTTTTTTTCTTTTGAAATCTCTGAGTTCTGATAGCTCCTGTTTTTGATTGTTAGTCTTTGAAATTATATACCTATTTAATGTTATGCTTTCAAAATTTGGTGTGTCTATATACTATATACTCAATTTTATTTATACTTGTAAATGTTTGGAGGTATTTATCTTATCTTGACTTGCTACCAATATATGTTATATATATAATGTAGTTGAATAAAGCTCTATCTATCTATCTATCTATCTATTGATTTAAAAAATGTCCATTTCCTATTCAAAATTTTGAAAAAAAAATCAAGAGAAAGAATGTCATTTGAAAGAGTAATCAAAGGAAATCCTGTTTGGCGATGAATCAAAATGTTTGCAGGTTTGATCAAAAACTAATTTATTGTCAATTTTATTAGGTTGCTTGACGAAAATTACATATATTGGTTAAAAAAGTCTTGCGCTGCCATTTTAAAGACAAAATGTCCACTTGTGATAGGTATGCCATTGAAAAGGTAGGTAATTTTTTGCTCTGTCGATTTTAGTGAAAATATCTACAGGTTTCGTTCAAAATTATCGAGCTAGATATATTTCCGGTTAAACCGGAAGTGATATTATATTATACCTATCTTCAATCCAAATATCAAAAGCCTAACATAAAGAAACATGTATATCCAAGGATAATGTTGAAAATATGAATGGAATGTTCACTCTGTATGACTTGTGATGAATTGCTATAACATATTATGATTTGTAATGCCAAATAAAAATTCACATGGATGATAACAATTTTAGAAAATGCATTTTATCTCAGACTTCGAAAACATATTGACATTTCATATGTGAATATATGGGTAAGACAAGTGACAATTAGCAACATATATCGTTATAAAGTTTATATTCAGAGTTGAAAAAGCACTTTTTGTGTTCGTTCATAATAGTTTTGTAATCTTACAAACACACCACAAAAAATGCAACTTTCATACAAAACGATGATTCATTTGGTTTAAATGTGTAGATATTTGAATATCTGGCAAGGCAGGTAGTCATAATGGAAAATAAATCGTCAACAGAAATTCATACTTTACTTGTTTCCTCATTATGTGTTGTAATGTGGTCAACTTGGTCATTGAAAAAAGTGCTTTGTGCTTGCTGGAAGTATTTGCGAAAAATTGCACAATAAAAAACTGGTTTGGGTTCTAAAATTATTCTTTTTCTTTTTGTAATCCATACTCTTCACACTTTTCAGTCAAATCAATTATTTCCGCTACATACAACAATGACTAAGTATACCGTCAACAGCCGCCAAATAGAATTCTTCAGATTACATATTGTCACATCAATCAATTTTTAATCGCCAAGCTGATTGCCTGCAGACAAGGGGCCGGCGGTACGTGGCGAACTTTAATACCTACCAATGAGAATTATATTCCTAACTGAATCCTTCTGTGAAAAATTCACGATCGCAGAAATCATATCCATGCAAGTATATCAGGAATACTCAAGACTAGGGTGATTTTTAATAGCATGCAATTTATAATACACAATATATAGGCACTATTTCCAACATAGGTGACAAATATCAAGTCCGCATTTCACCATGATACAGAGGGTGGATGACCTGATAGAAATGATCTTGATTCCCGCCAAAAGTGGCATTCAATTGTTTCCTATTGAAAAATTCTGACCACATAATAAGTATGTCGAGTGAAGTTTGACATAATTAGTTCAATCAGGAAATAAGCGATAGTCATACCTTTTGTGACTGACAGGCAAACGAATTCTACAAATTAAATAATGAGACTACTTCAATGCAGTCAGGTTTTTCTATTGATGATTCCAAAAAAGCGTTGATAGAGAAGTACCAATTATTTAATATGACAAATCTAAATCAAATGACTGCAGCTATCCATGAACCCGAAGAAACTGAGTATGGCAAAGTTATGACATACTGTACAAGGTGAGCAAGGCTCAAACAAGTATGAACTGATTATGGAAAAGTTATAAGTCAGGCTCAAATTGTCTAACTCTGATATTCTACAGAATGACTAAAAATATCATTACGAAATGACAAGAAATGAGTGAGAGTAACTCTAATTTACTGAAATTTTCGGGAGATGTCTATGATAACTCAAAATGTCTTTAACATTTACTCGTTTTAGAGGCTCCCAACGAGTCTCTGTGAAAGTTTAATGAATTTGAACAGTAAGTTTGGATAAAATAATGATCAAAGGATTTATTGGAAACCATTTATACTAAAATGTTCATCAATTTTGAGATAGACAGGTTATGTCTCAATAGACCTAAAAATGACAAGTGAGTTTAAATCATGCTGAAAAACTTCATCATCATTTTCAGTGTTGATAATCATCTAATTTTCTCATTTATTTTACGGAAAATATTCCATTCTCAAAAGTTTGACTTATCTGAATCACCCCTAGTCTAATCTTGACCAAAAACGAATTATATACAGTGTGGAGACTTCAACTGGAATAAATTCGTTAGCAAGGAGGTGAATATTTTTTATAAAAATTCCCGACATACGTCAACGATTTAATATTTTTACCAACCTTTTGCAAGCAATATCGAGAATATATCCCTCCAGGGGTAGCTGAAACCACCCTCAACATGATTTTTTCAAATGTAACCCTATGGCTTCTGACTCCTCATTTGAAAGCTGGTGGAAAGAGGAATCCAGCGTATTAGTCAAATTTTAGTTTTTTTATACGTTTGAAGGTTGCAAGAAATTGTAATGTAATTCAAAATTCATTTTTTTTAACGTATATCAATCGCTCAAAATCTGCGTTGAACAATAATTGATGGCAATTTTTTGCCACAACTGCTATCTGTTATTGTATTCGTGTTTTTATAGAGCCACAAAAACAAATTTTGTTTTTTTTGCCGTATTCACAATTCGAAACGAAGTGTTATTGCAAACTGTTGGAAATGCCCTATATCACTTTTACTAAAAGTTGAAATTTTGATGAAAATTCGTTGAAAATATATTGAACTTCGAAATTATAGTTTGATTTTATGACCTTCAACAAACGTACTGCAAACTGAAATATGATCAGTACGCTGGATTCCTCTCTCAACCAGCTTTCCAATGAGGGGTCGCAAGTCATAAGGTTCCATTTGAAAAAAAAACATGTTGGGGTTGATTCCAGCTACCCCTGAAGGGTTTTATTCTCCATATTGCTCGCCAAATATCGGTAAATACAATTAATCGTTGACGTGTCTCGCGAATTTTCAGAAAAATCATTCACTCCCCCAGTAGCAAATTTATTCCAGTTAAAGTCTCCACCCTGTAGATCATCGTGATGGAAATTCATCAATGACAAATGGCTTGAAAAACTCGAAGATTTTGTCAAAGAATAATTTTAGATCTAGGTAATAAAAATACGCACTTGTTGGCCTTCGAGAACCGGTTCGTTGGGCTAGAAAAAAATTATTAACAACCATGCAATATCCATATATACATGCCACAACGAGCGTGGCGGATACATACATGTGACAGGAGGCATTTCAATTTGACATTTACCACTGCCAGAGCAAGATGTATTTGTGTAGAGCCATCATGCCATGAACTGGATTTTTGGAGGCGGGTCAAAGCTTTACATTTAGTTCCTTATTGCACTCTATGAAGTCGGATATGCTTCCAGTTGTAACATTTAAGTCAATTCATGTATACATGATGGACCAATAGAACCATAAGTTATAGTAAATGACTGCGGCAACTTCTACTTACTTTGAAGCTCTCTGGTTTCAAAGAGTTTATGGGCTTCACCACTAATAGAATCATTTGATATTTACTGAATTTGATCCACCTTATATGTATACAAAATTGTTTTGGAAGATTCTATATACCAATTAAAAGTTGAAGTGATCACAAGAATATTCAGTGTATTTCTTACAACCATGGAATACTTAAAACCAACCCTATTTGATATCATTAATATACCTATCTCTTTCCCAAAAATGATTCCTTTTGAAGATCTTGTGATGTTTTTTCTTGTGTTTGATTGTTTTGTTTTGTCTGATTCCATCGTTGAATATTTTTATTATGAATGTGTATGAATGAATACTCACTATTTCTCGTACATTCTTTAGGAACACGACTAAAAATTGAAACACTTTTTTAACAAAATTCAGTATGATTGAGGTTATCGAGTAATCTCAATGGGTGTTTTGAGAGTACCTACATTAAAATTTGGGGTCGAATCGAATTTTTATTGTTTTCTCAAAAACTATGCAAGATACAAAATTAACACAAGGGATTAGAAAGTTGTATTTTCAATTGTTCAATTTAATAAAAATACGATATTTACCGTAAATATTGATGTTTCATAAAAATTGAGAGAAACTGTTGAGTGATTAATAAAAAAACGGTATGTTATGGAAACATTGATACCATCTCGAAAACGAAGCAAGTACAATAATTGTTGTATGCACTTTGAAATTTTACCAGGTTATCATTATGAATACCCCACTACCAGGATTTGGTCAACTAGGTTTCCCAAAACAAAAAATGGTCCAATGATGAGTAATAACTAGACATACTTAACATAATTTTTTTAGGATATGTAAGGATGATTTCTACCGGAACTTGAGATTAAATACAAGGTGTCCCCATAAATGATTCATAGTTCAAGTGTATTTCCTGTATGCATGCAGATTTCGGTAACTTCAGGAAAGAAATTTCACCGGAAAATCGTACATATGCATAGTTATTGTTCAATAAAACTTTATGCCTACCAAATTCCCAAAAATATATTTAATGCAAATTTCTTCACATTTGATAAAATTGATAAAGAATTGGAATTTCAGGTAATTCTATATATTAATGTTGAATGCCAACATATCATATACATACCTACTCAAAAAATAATAGTGTTTCAATTGTGTTGGCAATTTCAATCATATATAGAGAATGTATTGAATTCTTTCCAGTTCGTTCGACACAATAATTATTAGATTGTATTTTCAGGTGATCATCTTCAAATTTTGACGAGTATATTTTCTGCATGGATATTGCTGCCTGTTAAATTGTAGCAAGCAGTCATATCTTAATCATACCGAGTGATCAGAATCAGAACATTGAACTTGCAGAATTTTCACAAATCAACACATTTTAAATTATCTGAGCACCACTTAAAACACACACGAATAACAATATTCAAATACATACAGTTTTACCAGATATCGGTTACTTTGCTTACGTGATTTTGCCCCACCTGTATGTATGTATATGTGGGTATTAGTAAACACACAAAACTTTGTAAATCTTAGAAATAACACATAAAATAATATACCAGATCAACACAACCTAGCATTTGTATGAAAAATAAAAGTTTTCAAATATTGATTTACTTTATTAAAAAATATATATTGAAAACAGCAAGTGTTAAAAATAAAAACAAATCTAAGTACACTTCTTCAATGTCTATATCTATATGTATACGGACACACATATTCATACATATAGTTGAATACAAAATGACTAGCAATAAGTAAACACCTACATATATCGAAATGTGTGATGCTACATATAAATATATTCTATTACAATATCAAAATGTTAAGAACAATCATTTGACTGGAAACTAATGAAAGCCTCTACAATAGTTCAACGAATACCACTATGACTATTGTTTACTATGTGCAACAAGGCTGTCAGATAGCCTATAAGCAATAGGCGTAAAATTTGAGTAAGAAAAAATAAATTGAAGAAATAACGAATCAGATTATAATAATATAGATATAATCATCAAGCCTAAACTTGGTGGTCAAATCAAAAATAATTGGTATATTTCTGTGTGATAAATTGAAAAAAAAGAGTATTGCCAAGGAAAAATTATATGTAAAATGAAGAAAGAACATTGAAGTTTACGAGTATTAATTTTTTCATGAAAATTATTAACACCTGTTTTTTAAGATACTGATAAAATTCTAATCAAAGAAATTCGGCCGAGCAGTCGTTTTGAGCGATCTTATGCATCTGTGAAAAATCGTGTTAAAACAGAATAAAATCCATGCTACATGCAAACCAAAAAAAAGTGTATTCACAGCTTAGTACATATAAGAGTTTATATTTTGGAGAATTTGCTATTTTTGGAAAAACTAAACTATCGCGGTGTTTCTTACTACTCATAATCTTTAAGCGATACCGTGAATTTGAGATGCAGTGAACAAACTGCATTTTTAATTGTCTTTGTATTGTTCATTTCATCAAAAGTTACCATCCCGTTGAATGAATCATCATCAAAATAAATGTACTAAGCTTCTAACCTGGACGACAGAAAAAGAAATACGAAAAACCCATCAAAAAAAAAGTTTGTTGCTCCAACATTGGCAGAATAGTCGAGACAATTCGAGTCGATATCAAGAATCGGATCAAACGGTCTCAACTAAAGCCAATACAGAAGCAACAAAGCTTTGCCAAACACAAACTAACAAGAGCGAACAGCGGCAATAAAGTTACATAGCGGACAGAAAGATGGTAGAAAAGCGGCTTACAGCTTGATCAGTCGAACTCTTGCTGTATGGAACTGGAATCAAACGTTCTTGTAATTCACCACCTATCACCTTCAAGAGTAATAAAGGGCAACGTTAAGAGTGGTCCGACAGACAGTGATGAGACACATACAAATAGAATAGTGCACAGAGATAGATTTCTACTGAATAAACCTGAGAAGAGTGACTACAGCAACAAAAGAAATCTACGTGTCCATGCCACTTCGCCGATTGGACAAGTTGCCGAAGTTTTGGTCAAGACGCCGGAAGAGATCGGTGGACACTTTGGTCGTAGTGCCCGAAAAAAACAGTTGCCAAGTTGCCGGAACGAATAAAACGACGCTGCATAAATCGAGAATGCAACGTCGAAACCGAGATACAATTTTGCTCAAAGTATCAAAATAATTATTTGTTCACATTACCGAAAGAAGTGATTATACCGAAACATTTCTTTGGAAAACTTGCCGAAATGATTCTTAGGACAACGCCGAAACAGCTCTTCGGACATAATTATAGTACTCAGAGAAGAGCATAAAAAATATGGGGGACCTCAACTGCGAATTTGAAGGTCATTTGATCTATTCGACATTGTGTCCGCATTCACTCAATCAAGTGTAAAACCACCCTCGATTTTTGGAGTAGAATGAATTATTCAGATTTTTCTTCACATCTACTACTTAAAAAGACCTACCACATGGTCTATGACTTGAGTTTCATTTTGTCCAATTTGAAATAAGATCAAATAGAATATGTAATGTTCTCGAAAAATGATTCCTAATATAGAAGGAGGCCATGTAACGATAAATCGAACTCAATCTATAGACCATTATTTGATAGATATTTTTAACTAGTAAATTTCGAGAAAAAAAATGACACTCCGGAATAAGGGGAATGTTACACTTGAAGCATGACACAATGTATACAGGATGATCAAGTTTCAATGACTAATCCGCATTCGCTTGCCGGTCGTGGGTTCGATTCCCATCGACTGCAGATTTTTTTCTGATGGCCCAAGAAAGTGTTTGGGATCACACGTTGAAAGGTAAGGCCCCCGTCATTCCTTGCTCGCACAAGACTCTCGAAGGCTTCTGAGGGTTGCTCGTAAGGGGGCAACCGAATGACGGATAGAACAATTTTAGAACAACAATTTTTCAGAAATCAATAAAATATTCTTCTCTCATACGAATAATCGAACATACGCTCTAAAACGGTTCGTTTTTGAGATACTTAAAGGGCATTGAAGTCAACAATATTTCAATGAAGCTCTGAGATTCATTAGGTACACTGAGAGGATTGGAAAATGTCATAACATTTCGATCTAGATAGAGGGTGGTACATATTTAGAATACTGTTATTGATAAAAAAATCGATCTTTTTTTTCAAGTACACCACTGACCGGATTTCAATCAATTTCTCAATTGTACAATTGAATAGGTACTCAATTTTTGGTCTTCCAGATCACTTTCGATATTTCGTTAGATTTGCAAGATATCTGAAAACGTTCAATTCGATTAAATTCAAACTGTTCATTTGATGCCGTCTGGATTCATAGTATGTTTGTTTCCATTCTTATTTAGAAACATGTCCAAAAAGCTGTTTCGGCCTTATGACTACTTTCGACAATGTGTCCAAAGAGATATTTCTGTAATTAGACCACTTTCGGCGAGATGTCCAAAATTGCTGATTCGGCGTAATGACCTCATTTGGCGATGTGTCCAGAGAATTGTTGATTCAAAGTAAAATTGACCTTTCGCTTTCGACGCCGCGTTTCCGATTTGCATCGTCGTTCAATACGTATCGGCAACATGGCAACACTTTCGACAACTTGTCCACTGGCTTTTTTCGGCACTATTACCACTTTCGGCAGTGTCCACCGATCTGTGTCGGTGTCTTGACCGAAACTTTGGCGACTTGTCCAGTCGGCGAAGTGTTCGGATCACAAATCTACTACCAATAAATAAATACAAATGCATAATCACCTCGTGAAACTATGCGACCGCGTTGATTTCAAATGAATGCGACGAGGACTTCTTTTGTTACTGTTTCAGAAATACGTGTAAGCTACCAAAGTGGCTGACACGTAGTGTTCAGATAGACACGATTGCTCGAAACGTGTAGCAAATAGGGCTCAGTGCCGAATGTAATAAAACAGAGCATAAACATATTTATTTGCTTAACTTAAACATACGGTTTTCCACACAAGCCAGAGTAAGCATTCAACATTATATTAATGTAATAAAGGGAACCTTATTATTATCGCAATGTTTCCTCGGCTCGATGTGAATCACCCTCAACTATGTATATGTGTATATATATATAGATTACGTACGTATAGTGATTATTGTGGGTTTCATATATTCAGTTCAAAATGATTATTATATTCATTATAAGAACTTTTTATGTTAATAAATCAAATGTGAATATAAATAAAATAATTAAGGAATGATGAAAATATCGAACAAAATTAAGTAATGTGGCCTGCTAACCCACATACAGCCACAGCACAATAGTTTTAACCAACAATGATTGTATGTTTTACTTTGTATGTATTGCATTTTATACTCATAACTTCGATATCAGTTATGTTTACCTGGTTATCCAAGGACCAAATACTTCTATAATTTTTTTTTCGACATTGGTTTTTTATTTTTTTATAATTGAGTGCCTAATATAATCAGAGTGTGTATCTTCCAAACCAAAAAATGTTGTTAAATGACTCCGAGCACGTTGATTTTTTTATTTATAATATAGAATTGGCAGTGTTTTCTGTGACATCGACAAAACAATCTCATTTTTGGTAACATATTTTCAATTTTTATAATACGAATTCAATGATCAGGTTTGATAGGGTATAACTACATTAATTTTTCCATTTCATTTGGCTGATAAACACTCTGTATTCATTGAAAAACAAATGAAACTGCATGCAGCGAAAAATATATACAAGAATATTTCGCCAACTGATCTGCTGACTTATAATTCAAATAGTTTTTAAATTGATCACAATAAACGTTCTTTAACTTGTTTCGTACTTGGATATGTATATATATAATATTATCACTTGATTTTTGCCTGCCTAAAAAAATCATCTCGAATCAACAGAAATATTTCCAGTATCTGAGAAAGAATACAAGTAGCAGCAAGAAGTTGGAATTTTAAAGAGAACCCCAAATTAAAATTACCTTCTGGAGAGCTATCCCGAAATAACCCACTAAATATATTCATCTCCAGGATTTCTCAAAATATGATCATTAAAAACTAACAGAGATAGTTTCTGAGAGAAGAACAAATCCAGATATCTATAGAAAATCGATCATGTGTTTTATTTGAATGCCATTTTTGGGGTATGTTTGGAAAGCTCATCATAATAGGCCATCCTTATGGTAAGGAACTTTTACGTTTATTTAAAATTCATACATTCTCGATTCGAGAAGAAAAATAATGTTAGGAAAATTTACACTGCACTTTCAAAGTTTAAGTAGTTCATAGTTATTGGATATTTATTGAAATATTAAAAATTCAATATCTCAGAAAACAGCCTGGTTTTTTTACAAATGCCCAAACATCTCATCAGATGGTATATATGTAGTAATGGAAGATATCTGGTCCATATCTCACCAGATATACATAAACCCATAATGCCATTTTGCGTTTCCTTTTTTGTCGTTGGCAATCGACACAAAATACAAATGACTCGCAGTTTGTGTGCATGCGCAAACAGAATTGGAAATTATCATTATTTTTCAGTACACTAACCTGAAATAGTCTCTAATGCTAAGTAAAATGCTATACATACAGCTAAACTACAGTAAGCCTTATGTACAAAATAATACAGGTATCTTTTCGAGTTCTGGTCAAGTTAAGACTACTTAGTGCTAAGCTATTGATATAAAAAGAGGATGGATATGGTTGGGTGAAGTATGGTCATTTAGGTTTTGGAAGGTTCATCGCTAATTCTGGCACCTGACATCTACTTATAGCATAGAATTTCGTCCGGGCAGCAGAGCAAGACTTTACCTTGGTGGTCAAAAGCACTAGAACTCAGTGTCTCATAAAAAAATCAACCTGTTGGTAAAAGGGTTGGTACGATTCCACAATCCCCTATTTAGTGTGCCCACTACAAAAATTTTATGTCTAAAAAGATTGATATTTTCTTGGCCTTTTTCAATACTGGTACTGAAAACAGAAACTTGGAAATTTCTAGAGTGAGGAGTGTATCGAATGTATGAATTGGATTATATTGATTCTGTCTGGGGCAAAAGTTATCCTGGGTATTCAGAGTTTTTTTTTATCTCATGGAACGCACGAAAGAAAATACCTATAATGTTCGTGGAACATCGTGCGTACCTACGGAGGATAAGGAGAAATTAGGTGTTGGATTTTTTTTCATTTTTTGGAGGTTATAAGTTATACTTCCATTCGCGAAGAATTCCAAAGCTTCGCCGTTCTGTAGATGAACGAGTATTCCTGCACCTGATGTCCTCTCGTCAAGTCTCGACAACTTTGGTACTTAATTCCCAGTTGATTTTCACCTTTTTTGACACCCAAACAAATGCCTCATGAACAAGGGATGGAGGACTAACATACCATGGGACTACAAAACTATAGCGGCAATTATAGCGGCAGTTATAGCGACACGTATAGAAAAGTAACCCTAAAATTCATTATACATATATTATTTTGGTTGGTAATAAAATAATGAATCACCTAATCACCACAGGGGTATTGAAGTGGCATGTCAAATAAGTGTCATATAACTGTTTTACGACAATACAATATTTTCGATTTTTTTTACCTCTTCAAATCGCCTAGAATTTTAGGTTTGTTCATTTATTATAACATAAATACTTAATAGTTGATGATACACTCTAGAAATCCTCAACATTGAAAACATTATCCGTTAAAATTCCAAACTCGAATGAAGAAGGCCAAGAAAACATCAGACTTCTCAGATTGAAAATTGTTCAGTGGTAGGGATAATGGATTCGTACATCGAAATGATAAGACGTGATACAATTGTGCGAAGTTTATTATGCATAAAGGATAATACCGTGATACTATTTGTCTCAATA